CTTCAAGGTTGTCACGGGCCTGGAAAACCGGAAAGTCATGGAAAATTAAAATGTCAGGGACAAGTCTGGAAAAGTCGGGGAGAGATATAAGAAAAACCTTGTGTCGGGGAGAGATATAAAAAAAAAACCACACGGTTTATTCTAGTGAAATAACATTTTCATTCGAGTGAAATGATATTTGAAATAACGTTTAATAAGTAAATTATATTGTTTATTTTAAACAAACTAAAATCAAACAGACATATATATTAAATTCGAAGAAACCCTTTTCTCTGTGCGAAAGAAGGGAAGGTACAAGGAAAATCGTATAAGTTGCCGATTATAACACAATAGTAATTATAATCATAACAACACCCTTATGATTGATAGCTGAGCAAGTATGACGCCGAATATATAATTTTCAACCTCACAAATATGAGGCACAAGGTCGATAATCGTATACGGTCAATCTAGGGAATGGCCAGACATTTGTGACTGATTGTGTACACCGGGCTTCGATAAAGCCCCAACTCAAATTTACTCAACTTATCTTTCTAATCGTTCGCATCGTATTTGAATACGTGTATACATTACAACCGTTGGCTCTCCGGCTGATCTGTCATTCTGACAGCTCGACACATATCGGTATCATATCATGTCGTCATAACGTGTCATATCTATCATATGACGTCATTGTGTCCACACATACGGCAGCTATTGGGACTATCAAGTTTTGGCCCCGGTAATTGTTAGAACTTTATCGGAACATACTCTACGTAGCTTCCCGGACTCTCGTGCATCGCGGTGAGAGATTGTCTGGTCTCTCTCTCCCTCTCTTTCTGCCCCTCCTTCTCTCCAGGTGTATATCAACGGATCGCGTAGGTCTCGAAAGATTCAAGCGGATTGTACAAGAGTACAGTCGACAGGCTAACTCGCAAGCAGGTAGGCAACGAGAGTGAAAGAGAAAAGTACAAAGAGAGAAAGAGAGAGAGAGAGAGAGATCAACGTTAGCGTCGTATCATTAAAACTTTAGACTCTCGTGTCTGTCTGATCTAACTCCGGAGGGCGACGTGAGCGCGAGTACGCGCGTCTCTCGCGAAAGAGTAAAGAGGGCGAGGGCGCCTTCGGAGGAGCAAGGGACGGAAGAGGAAGAAGAAGAGAAGGAGAGTATACACGAGAGAGAGAGAGAGAGAGGGGGGGGAGGGGGAGCCGGCGAAGGAGAGCAGCGGAGAGCGTCGATGCGAGCGAGAGTGTCTATTTACGAGTGTCCGGCGCCGTGATGTCCGGAGTAAAAATACACCGTGTAGAGTCCGTATGTCGTGTGTGCGAGCGCGAACGCGCCACACAGAACCCTCTTATAATTCTCCGACGCGTTCGTCGGCTCTCTCGGTCGCCCAACGCTTCCCTCCTCCTCCTTCTCTTTCTCTCCTCGCAGTCTTTCCCTTCTGCCCTTCTCTCTCTCTCTCTCTCTTTCTTTCTTTCTTTCTCTCTTTCTCGCTGCTTAGCACTCCCCGTGGCCCGTAGCAGCGACGCGGCGCTTCTCCTCCTCCTCCTCCTCATCATCATCATCATCCTCATCGTCTTCCTTCTTCTTCGCGAAGAGTTGGACCGTAGCCAACTTCGCTTTACCGAGAGCGACGGTCGAAGCGAGCGAGAAGCTGTGCTACGCTCCTGGTAGCGTGTTTAGGGCGGAAAGTGCGGCCGTTATGGGGAATTCACACCGGAGCGACCTGGACGCGATGTCCAATGGGAGAGTTCGCTCTCTGGGGTCTCTGCTCGGCAACATGTCGATTCTCAGAGGACGGGGTCCCCCATTGGACGTCGGATATTGCGCCAATCGATTATTGATACGTATCGATTGTCCGTGCGTGTCGAAATTTCGACACTTCCTCGAGAAGTGTTGGATGAATGGATAAGATTTAATCGGAACTTTTTTGTTTTTGAAATTTGTCTTCTTGTTCTCTTGATGATTTAATAGCATCAGGTTGCGACGTAAGTCGAACTTCTCTCGCGAATGATGAAGTGCCGAGACCGTCGAGTGCTCGTTGCCGGTTCCCAATCCGGGCCGATCTCTCGGCGTCGTGTGTGTTTACAAACGCGTACCCGTTGCGCGGCAGGTACGCGTCACGCAGGTACACGTCTGCAGCGAATGAGCGGCGTGTGTGGGTGCGGAAATATAATCGCGCAGTGACGTCACACGAGCGCGCGCGCGCGCGCTCAGTGAAACAGACTTCCTCTCGTTCGCTCGCCGTTCTCCGCCGCGGAACGAGCCGTCCGTCGCGGGTCGAGCGCGCTACGGCTGCGAGAAGAAGACGAGTACCGTAATTCGCAAGTGCACACCGTTCGCGAAGGTTCGAGCGAAGTCCCGCGGACGGCGATCCTTCGCCCTTTCTCGATTTCGGAAAGGAGATCGAGGGAGAGGAGATATCTCGCGCATTTTATTCCGTTCTTATCCGGAAGCTATATTTTCTCTTATTTTGTATTTGTTTATTTATTAATGGGACGAGCTCTTTGGTGTGCGAGAAATTACAGTAACCGTAGTTGACGGGACAAAATTACGGCATTCTTATTTTATATCAGAATAAAGAAAATAAGAAAGAGAAAACGAGGATCGAATGTGAACCATATAACTAAAATGTACACTGGAAATATTAAAGTTGGTATACATGTAAATAAAACTGATCTACATCATCCATTGATTGGTTTTTAATTGAGATAAATTAAAAGAAAATCTACGTGAACTGCATTAGCTATCAAACTCAAACGATTAATAGGTTTAAACGGTGTACTATGGTAAGAGATACAAGAAAGAAGACTTTCTAAGGCTCCTACCGGGAGCATTAAATCTCACAGGCTATTAAAATATAGGCTATAAAATATAATAATCAATATTTAGCAAATTATATGTCTTAAATTATAAAGATAATATGTCAGAAATAATTCTGCTGTGCTTAAGGGATAAAATAAAATACACATATTACGTCGTCTGATGATGAGAGAAATATAACATTGGCAAAGCTCTAATTATAATAATTTTACCTTATGTATATATTAACTTTATGTATATTAATGTACAGATAGTGAAAATGTCGTGTGATTTTCCATCTAGGCAGTAGTAAGGCGTACATAACGCAGTGTGTACTAATGCCGTGCAATAGTGCTGTCTCATTCCCTCGGCATAGTAATATCGGAAATTTCAAATTAGCCGTATCATTTCTGAATATTCGCGTCTCATGACAGCTGATTATTCCGCGAACCGGCAACGTGACGGTCCAAAGCAGCCAGTTATGATGCACGAATATTCGGAAATGATGCGCCCGATTCGAAATTTTTCATATTACCATGCCCGGGGAATAGCAATATCATTATGCTCGACTTCTAGCTCTATATCGATTTTCATTGAATATCTCGGTTCTCCGTGGAGCTCGTGTCGCTGAACGCGAAATTCGATCGCGGCTTTAACGCGCTTCCGGGACTCGGCACACTCGCATACACGTGAGAATCGCGAAGTTTGCGAAAGATCGTTGCGACACTTTTCGTATTAACGAGCCACGGAATACGAAGGAAATTGTCATCGCGGTTGCGTCTGCGTTCCGAAAGAAAAAAAAGAAACGCAGCGAAGAGAGGCGCTTCGGCGACCTCGTTTGCATTGGTTCGTACTCTGAACTCACTTTTATCGATAAGAGCGCCTTAAGCGCGGTTTCCCGGCCAATCAGGTGGTTCCCGAGCCACTTTTAGAGGCGCTCTTATCGATAAAAGTGAGTTCGGAACACGGGCCGTTATCTTCCCTCGTCGTTGACTGTAAGAGAGAAACCGTGTGTACCTGGGACTTCCGATCGATTTCGAATTGATTCGCGCGCACGCGGCGCGCGTAATAAAAGATCGACGGGGCGAAAAGGTCCGTCTTTATTTCGGGCGCTAAACCTACCTACGCGTCTAACCCACGTCGCCGCGACGCCGCCGCCGCTTCGCTTCGGTCTTTTGAATGGGATTATTTTTAGCATGCGCCTACTATATGTGGATAACTGTACGCGCCGCGGCGCGTATTCAGTTTCCGCGGATCGGGCGGCTTAAAGCGAGCATCCGATTCTCCGTGACATCCCGGCGAGGGAACACGGTGGCGTCTTGCATAATTAAATTATTCGTCTCTTCCGTCGAAGGACGACGCGTTATTGCGAGACCGGGCGAGCGAGCGAGCGCTCCGCCGAATCCGGTATAATAATCAAATCAGAATCGGCGTCTTCCATCTCCCCCCCCCCCCCTCCTCCCGGCGTTTAATTTTGAATACAAATTTTTAATGCGACATTGAGCCGTTCTCGACAATCTCTCGGAGAGATGTGTAGACCCGAGACGAAATTTCAGTCTTAGTTTAAGTCTAATTTAGTTCTACATTAGGTTCAAAGGTCCCTCTATTGTGCTCCTTTGGTGTAATTTTTTTTTTCCATTTGAAGACTTAATGTAAAGTTAAATTCCCTGTGTAGCATTAAAAGGAGCACTTATCGTGGAAACTTACTTCTGTTTTCTCCACTTGAAGACTCAATGTAGAATGTAAAATTTCGACTCGGGGAATAATTTCATTATCTTCTGGATATTATTTTTCCTCTGTGTACACAAGATGTTACATGTACAAACTTGGGCAGCACGGATGTAAATTGAAGTGGAAAATGTCATAATCGTGAGTCTAATTCGAAACAGTTTTCTATTTACAGATGTTTACTGTTTATAAGCGTGATGGTGCAATTTTTTGCAATATTTTCTATGTTAAAATAGAAGAAACAAGAAAAAAAACATCAAAGTCCATATTCTCAATTCACTTTTGTCGATAAGCCGTTCGTGAGAATTCTCGAAAATCCTTCAAAGGTTCAACCTCAAATTCCCGCTTTCCCTCCGTGTTTTCCCGCCGTCTCCCTGCCGAGGGAAGNGGGGGGGGGGGGGGGGATTATTGTCGTGCGTCAAGCGCGTGTGACACACGATTAACACGCCGTCGTCGTCGTGTCTGACCAACATGTTTTCCATTGCAGTCACCTTACCCGCACCACGACATGGGAGGACCCGCGGAAAACGGCCGCTGCCGCGAACGTGGCGGCGGTCGCCGCCGCGGTCGAGAGCGGCAAGTCCAACGGCAACACACTCGGCCCATTGCCGGACGGATGGGAGCAGGCACGCACACCCGAGGGCGAGATCTACTTCATCAATCATCAGACCCGCACCACCTCGTGGTTCGATCCGCGAATCCGTAAGTTCGATCGCCCGATTCGCGGGACGCGCCGCCGTTCTTCTTCTCGTTCTTCGCGTTCCACGACGAAGCCTCCCCGCGTAACAATAACAGTAGTAATTAGCAGCGATCATAATTTAGATAGATTCAGATAGATAGATGATAATATTATTATTATTATTATTATTATTATTATATTGCTATATTGTTATGTTATTGCTACTCTATTGATGATTTTGTTATTTGTTATTTTTTATTTATTTCATCTGTTGACGGAAAAAGTGTATCCTTCTGATGCATAACGTAAGTGTCGATGTAAGAGCGAGTTGCATATGAAAAAGACAAAATATAGAGAAATGCAATGCAAAGAAGAAGAAAAGAGAAACGGGAGAAAAGTACAAAAGAAACAAAGACAGACTGTGCAGGTCTGTTTAAGTGCTTAATAATAATGACATATCTAAAGGTGGACAATGTCAAAACATGTCAAATATGTCAACTAAATTATTATAAATATTTCTAACTATAAGCAATCTTAGATAATTTAAATTCTTCATAATGAGTCCTATGCCTTTCCATACGTAAAAGCAGACACGTTCTCAATGACCTGTGCTGGGAATATTGAACATGATTAAATTTAAGATAGCAGAACACACACACAATTCTACCCCTCAAATGATATATTATTATTACTGCTGTTATTATTATTACGGCTGCTATAGTAACAGCAATAAAAGCATTTAATTGAGTCTTCATAATCTGCTTTTTTATTCATGTGTATTTTCCCTATTATTTTTTTCTCGTTTCTCTTAGTTTCTCTTGCAATATTCTGATATTATATATACAACATAATTGTGTATAAAAGGAAAAACTTATTTCCCACAAACAATCAAATAAATAATAATAATAATATTGGCAACGGCTTGTCGATAATTGGCGCGTCGCTCTTCCTGTGTCCTAACGAGATATTCCGCTTCCTCAGCGACGCATCTTCAGAGGGCTCCCACATCGGGCGCGATGCTGCCGCAGAGCTGGCTCCAGCAGCCCACCGGCGGCGGCATACAAAGCAACCAGAGCATGCAGGCCTGTCAGCAGAAACTGCGCCTTCAGTCGCTGCAGATGGAACGCGAACGCTTGAAGCAACGGCAGCAGGAGATCATGCGCCAGGTTAGTTTGAGGGACAGGAGGAGTAGGAGGACCGACGACGCTAGAATCTCCCGTCTGTTACTCTGGCGCGATTTCTTGCAGCAAGAGTTGATGCTCCGGCAGACCACTACCGAACCCATGGACCCATTCCTGTCGGGCATTAACGAGCAACATGCCCGCCAAGAGAGCGCCGACAGCGGCCTGGGACTCGGTTCCGCCTATTCCCTTCCTCATACCCCGGAGGACTTCCTCGCGAACATCGACGACAACATGGACGGCACGAGCGGTAAGAGAATGAGAGGCGTCGCTTTGAATTACCATCGATCTCTCTCGACGTGTATTTTGTATATTTAATACATGATTATCTTCGAACAACGAGAATTGGGTCCTACCTGATGTTCCGATGCGCTTTCGCGCACGCGCTTGCGAAGCGTTGTGTTTCAGCGTTTATCTTTTCATATTTCGCGATATATTTCATTTACTTCTGAATATTTTCCAACTCATCGCGAGAATGAAAGGCGCCTACAGCGTCGGGGAAATTAATTGTAAAAGCTACAAAGTGCTTCGGTCGTATTCGACCCACCTTGTTGCAACGCTATTGTGCAACCGTATGAATTTCAATGAAATTATAATAATTTAATATTCAAAAGATAATCCTCTTCCGCAGACGGCGGTGCGCCGATGGAGACACCTGACCTGTCGACCTTGAGTGACAACATCGACTCGACCGATGATCTTCTGCCGTCGCTTCAGGTACCCATATTCGACCCATGGTGTCAGTTGCAGATCGAGAACAACCTTTTACTGAGATATGCTTGAGAGGAGCGGGAAACACTCCTCCACCTCTTTTTTTTGCGAAGACAGAGGCAGTTGCGCTATTTATTGTATGCTCAACTTTTTCTTTCTCTCTCTCTCTCTCTCTCTCTTTCTTTCTCTCTCTCACACACATCCTCCATCTGTTATCTTTATCACTTTCTTTTTTGCTTGAATAACGGATGTAACATTGAATAAGTACGCTCGGCTCGTCATCGTCGGTGCTCATGATCGTTCTTGTTTCAGTTGAGCGAGGATTTCAGCAGCGACATCTTGGACGACGTGCAGTCACTCATCAATCCCAACACGACCAAGCCGGAGAACGTGTTGACGTGGCTGTAGTACGGCCCGGGGAGGCTCGGCGCTCGCACTCGCGGCGGATTCGTTTAGTCGACCTAGCGAATACACACATACACACACACACATATACACGTATTATCGATGCCGGGACACCGATAGAGACGCACGCGAGGGAAATTCTTTCCGGGGGTTTTTATATGAGAGAGCGACACCACCACCAGCGACCATAACACACCGGCGACAACGAAGTAGCACGACTGTTCCGTGACGAAACGCACGCTCGCTTACCGGGCCGATGAATCTTCGAACATGGACACACGGTGGCCTTATATCACATTGCAGCGCGTTTATGCTCAACAATCTAGACGCGTGTGTACGTAAACGATACATGCGTGACGTTACATACGTACATGTGTGCATATATATATATATATAGATATGTATATA